CGCAAGAAATCCATCACCCGCGCTCTGCACACAGGGCACTCCAGCTGCTCTATTTGTGGCAATTTGCATTTTAGTTTTCCCACATTATTTTACAACCGGCGGCATTCTTGCACCCAGTTCTTGTAAATGCAAATAAAAATGTGCTCTACAAATGGCATAATTCGTTTAAATTTATTGCCATTCAACTCTAAATCACACGTTACACACAGTTATTAAATACGTAAGTGTAGCAAGTAGTCTAACCTTGATTGCGACACTCGCTATGGATACGACTGAGGACTTTGTGTTGGTATTATTCTATTATTAAATCTTCAATACAATTATTTTTAAAGTGGTAATTAAATGAATGCTTTACGATGATTGATAAATTATAACCTTCGCGGGGTGATTTGTAACACCACCTGCCACGATTAGAAGGGGTGCGAAAGTACGAGTGCGGTAGGAGGATACTCAGCACCACTCCCATTGCTCTACATACATACTATATGTACATAAATATTTACGTAACAGTGATGTGAAACAAAAATTAACAGTTGCTGATTATTAATTACTTGGTATTGCACAACTGCATAAATAATTCCATCGCTAGTAATTGATTGCTCCAAATCGATTCACGCTACATTTAATGCAGTTGCTGCGAACAATTCGATTTCATTGCCTTATCGCCAAAGTAATAAAGTAATAAATGATTGAATTATAGTTGCAGTTCCGTACAAGTAAATGTGTGTGTGGGAATTTTTAATTTTTTTTTTTTTTTTGTTGATTAACAAATAATTAGTGTAAAGTACAGGTTGCTTACACACACATACAATATAGTTGCGGCATAGCGTATAAATAACCGAAGTATCTATAACTAAAATGTTGCGGCATTTAAAGTGCTAATTATCATTGAACGATAAATATTTGTTAACATGCAGAACTTACACACATACACCCGCACACACACTCATATGAATTTACATACTAAGTTCGCCAATTGGTATTTAAGCGATTGCATTGTGGTTTGTGCGCACTTTTGGTTGCATGCCACCAAATAGATACATTATCTAAACACATATTTGTATATATACAAGCGGTTCAATTATTCAGCACGTCGTGTTGCCTTGGTTCTGTGTCATTGCAATCCACTCTGTGCGAAGCTAATGTTGCACCACCTACTTGCGCGCGGCAGCGACACAGTCGCAACATGAAAAAACGCATGCGAAAACCCAGTAGGAAAATATGGTATGAACTATGGATCTCTGAACTACAGAAAACGCACCAAACTCGGGTCGCTCTTTGTAGCTTAGCACGATGTTATAAAGGCGTAAGAATTTATGCAAAATTTTTATACTCTCGCAACATGTTGCTACGGAGTATAATAGTTTAGTTCACCTAACGGTTTGGTGTATCACATAAAACCAATCGGGATTGATATTAGATTTAAATGTGATCCATTTCGAGGTTTCCAACTTCTTAAAAAATCAAAAAAACAAAAAAAAAAAAACACAGAAACTTCGAAATTAATTTTATTATCATTCGAGATAACATTTTTTGGCATTTATTTTTTGGAAATTATCTCTTTCGAATGGAATAGTCGCGGTTACGTCTCAGATGATCCATCCGTTGAGTTAAATGTTCGATGACTCGTTCGACTGAACTAGCGAATGACGCTTCCAGCTCTGAATCGAAGCGGCATTGTCCGCATAGACTTTAGGCTTTACATATTCCCACAGCAACAAGTCCAAACGGTGTGATATTAAACGATTTTAGTGGCCAATCGACCTTTTCACCGAAGTTTTCTCTCAATAAATCAATTGATTGTTGCGGTGCCTGGAAAGTAGCGACATCTTATTAAAAGCGCCAGCTTTAATTTGTGGCATCAAATAGTTGGTTATCATATCGCGATAACGGTCGCCATTGACAGTTACCTTCTCATCGGCATCATTTTTGAAGAAATGTGGACCGATGGTTCCACCGGCCCACAAGCCACACCAAACACTTGTGGTTTGAAAGGTAGGTATTCTTTGTTCGATATGCTACCCTTTGAAGATGACGCAAATAGGTTCAACTTGATGGTTGTAGTTATATGGTAATTTTGAACTGAAACTAGCTCTTTTCGGTCTAAAATCCGTAAAACAATATGCCGACTAGTTGGGCCTGCTGCTGTCACTAGTTGTTAAGTAGCTTCTAACTAATTGAATTGCCTGCAGGGTGTTCAACAATCGACAACACACATGGCATGTCATAGGATTTTAATCGCAGTCGGCTTGTGCCCGCTGCCGTCGTCTCGTGATTGAAGTGTTGGTTTCAATATTTTGCAATCGAAATGCGCAAAAAGTCAAATATTTGCGCAAATGTTGTCAATCTAGTTATATGTATTTGAACTTTGTTGCAATCTCTTTTGGCTTTTATAAATTTATTTATTTTTTCTTATTTTCGTTTCGTGCAATAAACGCTTCTGTGTACGAGTCAAACCAGAAGTGATTTCATGTCCATTCGATGATAAAGTTATTACGTATTTAAAAGGTTGTGCGTTTATCTGCAACTTGATGTGCTGTTTATATAGATATTTAAATTTTTGTATTTGATATTTAATTATTGTTTTGCTGTTTTGTAAGCAGCTTTTAGCGAAAATTTCGAATTTTAGTTAATTGTGCAACTTTTTCCGCAATTTTTGTATACGTCTCGACGTCAACCAACTCTCTTCGCTGCGCACCGACGAGTTACGCCCACGTACTTATAAATACAAGTGTGTATGTATGTTCATATGTATTTGCGTTTAGTGCTGCTGAGGTGTCTTACATTGCTACGGTTAATCGAATTTGCCGTTCGTTGCATTTAGGGAGATTTCCTGAATTATTTTAATTGCATGTGCAATGTGTGATTTTTGATTCCCAAAAAAAGTTGAAAAGCTGACAGCAAACTTTTCTTGTTGAATACAAGATTGCAGTTATAATTTTATACTTTTTTAATTAATTCATTTTTTTTTTTGCGATTTCCACGTAATAGACATTCTTAAGAAAGGACGGAAATTTTAGCTGGAATTGCCTCCAGTGCGCAAACCCCACAAAGTAATTGCACTAACACAGTTATCACGAGATATAGCTTATTAAAGAAATCTATTCGAAAAATATTAGGTTTATTTTTTAGTATACTTCAACCATTATTTGAGAAGACGTTGATGTATCGCCATGGAGAACCATAATGGTGTTTATAGATTTTAATGGATAACATTCAAGAATACAGTGCCTTCCAATTTTTTCATATTTACTTAAGAAGTATGCCTACTTTTAAAATAACCATGAACATACTTCAGCAAGTATAGAGATTAAATAGTTTTAAGATTTCCCTCAATCCAATGATTGCTTCTTCTTTAATGGCGTAGACACATCCATGCCTCTGAACCATTAGCATGGCGGGAATATGAATGACTTTTAGCGTTCGTCCACAGAGGACTTTACTCTTCAATTGCCGCCACAGTTCGAAATAGCACCTGTTGGCATGAGTTATTCTGCGTTGAATTTCGAGGCTGACAACAAATACTGGTTTAAAGATAGACGAAATGATTTACGACTCCAGTGACGTGGGAGGCAAGTCGCGAGTGCGATGACTATTTGTTTGACGCCTCAGAGAGGTATTTCCCGATCCTAACGGTGCGGACGATTTAGCCTTATAATATTCCATACTGTTCACTAAGTAATTTCGTTGTCTTAGTGCAATTTCAACACTATAATTTTTATTGTGTAAATGGGTGTGAAAGCACAACCAAACTAAGCTGCAAATGTTTTGGAGAATCATCAAACTTTCATGACAAAAACTCAAAATTAATGATTCCTTTGATTCACAGCAAACAGAAAATATAATATTTTTGGAGTATCGAGCATTCGAAGTGAGCTCTAGCGGTTCAAATTCTTATAAACAACCCACTTCACGCCATCTTTAACAATGCGCTTCAAAAATGGACTACTAATTTGGTTCACACTGAATTGAATGCATGGTAGGCAATCCGGGCCATCAAAGAAAAGAACAACAACTACGATGTTTCTATCGCAAGGATGTTAAGAGCATTCTCGGAAATTGTTTTTTTTTTTTTTTTTCCAAAATGTGACAACTAAGCGAAAAAACATCAACATAAGGAAAAAATTTAAAAGGTCATAAAAAAAAACCGACACATACGAACGCCAAACCTTTTTTACTATACTGACCTAGTACCATCACCCTGACTTGGAATTTCTCACCTCCCAGACAATAATCCCAAAAATGTTCCACAGTGTAATTGTTTGTTGCGAACAAGTGTTTTTGATTGGTACAACGGTAAAGCGGTTAAGTGTGAAGTTGGCTGCGTAAAAATTCAATAAGACCAGCTGTTGTCAATAAATGAAATTACTTTGTGAACTACCCAATATATTATTAATACTATATTTGAGTCTACATTCCCGTAATCATTCTACTTAACTCTTGAAACTAGTAAATTATTGCTTTACCATTGATGTAATGCATCCGCTGTGTTAGATGTGAGATGGATTGTTTTAATTTTCGTAGCTTCTCTGTAGATTTTACACCAGCAGCTAAAATATTGAAAGTTGTTGCAAAGGAACTCGATGGATAAAATAGTCGATTACAGATATAAAACTCTTCTGTGTTTTTAATGGAAATAAAATATGATATTTTCTGCTGAAAGTTGCTCGAAAGCATAAAACAAAAACTCAAAAATTTAATGACTAATTTACTAAAAGAGAAAGGCGGTTTTATTTTTAATTCTTTAATTGTTTTTTATTGGTTTTTTTCTGCTTCTTTATGCAATATATTTGTATATTTTGTATAAGATTAAGAATAAAGGGGTGAAAGAGAGGTGAAAGTAAAAGATATCTCGTGTAAAGAGAATAGCGAAAGATAGTAGAGGAAAGAAGAAGATTTAAAATTACAGAGCGGTGAAAAGTTCTCAAAGTTGTTGTACGAAACTAGAATGAACATCATATATTATAGTGTTGTCGGTAAAAATATCAGTATCATTGTTGTTGTTATTGTTATCGCAGTTGTTGTAGCGGATTTGTGCTTCAAATCCTTTCCTTCCTTTGCATGGCGTATCGGCAAACATTTACGACTACGAGTTTGCGCCAACATAGTGATTGTGATAAGTAAATAACATGGAATACATACGTGTACAAGGTACATAATATATGGTTTAATATAATAATAAAGAACATAGATATGCGTTTGACAGTGTGTGTGTGTGCGTTGCATATAAATTTCGGTAGGCGTGTCAGGGTGTGAATTGCGATTGCGATTGCGGAAAACGGAACGCGGTATACATAACGGCGAATAGGCGAGCTCGGTGTCAATTATGCATATTAAATCAGTGCGGTGGCATCTCCCTTCATTTGGCAGCAATATTGTCAAAATCTTTTTTTAAGCTTATAGTTGACAACGCGCTTCTATACTTCAGCCTATATGCATAATGTGTGCGTGTGTGTATGTATGTTTGTGAATGTCAGTTTTTAATAATTGTTTGTGAGGATCTTGTTGGTATGCAGATGCCGTGTTTACCAAGTGCCAGGTGCGGGTGCCAAATTCAAAGAAGTCGCCGAGTTGACATGACCAGCTAAGGGTGCAGTGTGAATAGCGCCACGTGTCTTTGCCACATACACACCCGAGCCATGACCCAAGGCAAGTGGAGCAGCCAGAGGTGCAGCAATTGGGGCAGCGATGGCAGCACCTAGAGGTCCTTGGCTGAGTGAGATGCCGGGAATGCCAGCGCGCCAGCCGAGTCCCAGACCACCGTGTCCCAAGCCACCGAGTCCAATGCCACCCAATGCAGTAACGGCAGCTGGTGCGCCCCAGCCGCTTGCGACGTGCAACGGACTAGGGTGTACGGCGGAGGTCACATACGATACGGCCGGTGCAATATGTGCGGTCAATGGCAGCAGGGAAGAGTGTACACTGGCGGCAAGAGCCAACATGACTACGGCAATAACGAACTGGAAGAGAATAAAAAATTAGGTGTTATTGTTTGGAATGGAAGAATAAGTAAATTTTTTCCTTAATTTGAGACTAATAAAATTTTTTTTTTTTTAACAATCAATTTTGTAATATAGTGTTTATTTTTAATTTAAAAAAAAATTTTTTTTGCACAAAAATTGCACATATAAATTTTTTATTTATGACATTTCTGTTAAGACACAATATTTTGTTTTTAATTTTTTTACATAATTTTTAATTTTTTTTTTTTTTCTTTGAAGAATGTTAACTCCACTACTGAAGCGTATATATGTACATCCTTGAGGTACCACAACTTCATAAGTATTACCTTCATGTTTGCTGTTTAGAGCGGAGAAGGATTTGAGAAGTGAAGAAAAGGATGTATTGTACTGCTACTGCACACACTCAAGAAGTGTTGAGTTGATTCTGATTTCGAATACGAAATTACGCCAACTTTTATACTAAAAAATTCGTTGAACTTCATATGCAGCGCCACTATAAAATAATTGCAGCAGCAATAAGTTCAATATGGGTGTGCAAAATGAAGCGAAAAAAACCGTATTCTGTAACACAACAATAATAACAATAACAATAACGGCAAGCAATAGCCATATCGCCGAGGTGTAAGCAGCGAAGAAACGCCGGGCGCCGGCTAAACTTTAAATTGTAACGAAACTTGTCTTGTTACACACTCAAAAAATGCTAGGAAAAACAACGTTGAGCAACAACAACAACAAGAGCAGTACATTTAATAAAAATAACAATAACATTGGCATAAGCGAGCGCATAAACGCGAACAGAACTAGAGTAATATTTGGTGCTGGTGTTTTTGCACGCCTGGCAGCCACCACCCTGCCAACCACCTGTCCACACACTCACACCACCGAAAATATATGTAATCTTTCGCAGGCGGCCACCACCAGCGCCACCACCAACTGGGTGAGCAGCATGGAAAATTGCCGAATCTCGAAACCACTCAACTCACTTTAACTCAATTGCGCTTCCCGCGACAGCGCTGCAGCGCAATTTACTCCACAAACGATATGGAAATATCTCAACAGCCGTGTGTTGGCGCAGCTAAGTATTTGGACGCCTTTTACGCGCGCTGCTTGGAGTGTGCATAAAAGCACATATATGTATATACGTGAGTGTGTGTGTGTGTGTGGGCACGCTTTTGGCGATACCCTGATGCATATCTTACGCGGCAAGGCCCAAAAGAATGCTCCACAATTGCTGTGTGTGTGTAATAGTGCAACCTGCAAGTTTGGCGTTTGCTCGCAACAACAAATCGTCGCTGTGTCAGTACTTCGTTCGTACAATTGGCTTGCATTCGTATGCGCTGATGGACAACAGCTGTTGGCTATGCAAGCCACCAAAACAAATACCATCCGCTCGCTCGCAAACCTTCTCTGCGCTTGAATGTGCGCACCACCCAACAATATTATTGCGCAAATAAATGTAAACAATATGCGGCAATGAAATAAAATAAAAGCGGTGCACATATTACAACAATAAAAGTGGCGCATATGTATTCAAATTAAATGGTTGTTGTAATAATTAACTCAATGCACTTAAGCAAAGATTGCAATTTAGTGTACGTTTTTTTCATACACTAGTGAAAGGCTGAAGTCTCAATTAGCTTGGGTATTGTCAAGTTAAATGGTATTTTACTAGTATTTAACCTATTAGAAGCTAGTTATCAAGTGTTCCTAAGGCACCACTTTTGGTCGACGATTTTGGATGGCTCTTCGGTAACGTGGTCTGTATAATATTCAGCTCTTGAGTCTATCGGCAACTCCCTAAGAATTATCATTACTTCTACGATGTTAGGTATATGTAGTTACATAGATGAAAGGTACCTAGGTTAGATTAGATGGCTGATCCCTCGGCGGGGGATCACACCCAGGCTGTTGCAGTTCGTTGGGAAGCTAACGAAAACTCTTGTAGGTGGATATCAGCTAGCGGAAAAATCGCTCTAAACCTATAACAAATCTGCTAAATGCTTCATTTCTAAGTCCACTATGGCACCCAATTGACTAAAAAATATGAGATCCAAGGTGTTTTTGCCTTGGTCTGGCAAAAGCGAGACATTCGAGGAGAAAGTGTTAAGAAGATTCCATCTCATCTTCTTTCAAACACCTAATGTCTGGCATATACAACCTTACTGCATGAAGCCCAATCGGATTGTGTCCAGTGAGAACTCCTACAACCATTGAAAGGTGAACTCTTCTCAGAGCTAAGAGTTCCCTGGACCTCTTTCGATTTATCCTGGTTGATAAGATAAAGGTGCGACTGCACCGGTATTTGACCATCGCTTGCCGATTTGTTATAAAATCGAACAATCCAGTAGTGAACCACAAGATGCCAACGGAGGTCCTACCTAAACCCATTCCTAAGCAATTCAGACTGAGATGGGTGAGGTGAAGGTACATATTAAGAATGAAATGTTATTGATCTCAAAACCATTTCATTGAGATCTTGTGAAGATCTTGTGAGAAACTGTTCACTAGTTGATATAGCATTATTCGGGTCTGTCTGTATATACTTGAACTAGTATCTAGTTTTTGAGATGTCTGTACACACGCGAAGTAGTTCCTTAGTTTTTGAAAAACGATCTAATATTTTGCACACATGCTTTTCTCTTCTAGAAGGTACTAATTTGTCGAAATGGCCGATATTGGATAACTATAGCGTATAGTTACTCCTGAAACTGAAAGATCCAAACGGAAAACTACTTCATTTGATAAGATGACTTCACGAAATTTGGTTTAGACTATTTTTCAAGACAACTGTACAGCCTATGAACAAATTATTCAAATTAGGCTACTATAGCTGTTATACAAACTGATCAAGTTATTATACAGAATCTTTCTTTTTCATTGTAAGAGACACTTTTATGTGTGAAGGCTGAAAACAGTTAAATAAAATTGAACTAAGGATTTTTCTTTTTTTACTCAATTTGTTCTGTAGAGTTAGAAACAATACCTTGTACGTATGCCTAACGTGAGAACTATTTTCTTAATTAACAATGTGACCATTTCGGATAATCTTTCCGAATAACATTAGCAAGTTGATTGTTTTAATATGAGAGCTTAGCACATGGATTATATCTACAATAATTATATGAAAAAAATAATATATCATTTTCATATTTCAGAATGTAGAAACGGCAATACTCCATTGACCACCGAGGGCACTCTCATCTCGTACTATAAGGTAATATCCAACCCAAACCTGAAACATCTAACGATCGCCCTCTCTTTCTCTTTCTCTCGATTACCTCTGTTCAGTGTATTAGTGAATTGACTCTCTATGGCTTGCGCATCCCTGCATTAAGAGAGAAACAACAATCAAATAATTAGAGTCCGACTCTCGTACTTATTTATATAACATACGAATGTATTGACTTTATAAAAATCTTGCAAAATCTTTATTTAAACAAAAATACTTAACAATTTCAACTTATTACACTGTTTATATATACTATATATATATATTACAACAACATATTTATGGTTAGTTTCTGGCATTTATAAAAAATGACTGCAGAGATAAAACTGATACATATGTAGATGGAATTCTCATAATATTTTTTTTTTTAATTTTTTTTCTTTCGAGGACAAATATTTACACACTAATTTAGAAGGCAGTAAAGAAGTTAAAGAAGAACATGCAGAAAGGTCAAGGCAAGAAGAAGAATGTTAGCAATTTGTCATAAATTCGCAAAACTACTGTACAAAACTAGACTGGAAGTGTGTTGGAATCGTCAAAGAATATTTTGGATATTATATGCCTTAATGCCAACAAAGGAGTATACAATCATCCATTATTTGGAAGTTAATCTAAGCAAGAAAAATGAGCATATTTATGTATATGTGTACAATGTACATATTATATTATTTATTATACATAAAAAATATAGATATGCCTTAAACATATGTTGCATAAAAAATGTCGGTAAGTGCATTAGGATGTGGGTTGTGGGATATCGGAAACGAAACTACAGAAACGGCGGAAATCTGCATTTCGCTCTAAAATATACATAATCAATTAGTGCGGTGGCATCCTCCATTAGTCATCAATGTCGTCAAATTTGTATAAGTATAGCTGCTGACAGCATGCAATAATATGTATTTCTGCTTGGGTTTTTTTGATATGTGGGATATGCGTTGATCTGGATGAAAAGCATTCTGAACCAAATTAGTGTGTGCCTGGAGCTGGTGCCAAGTTCAAAGAAGTCGCCGAGTTGATGTGTCCTGCCAAGGGAGCAGTATGAATAGCACCACGAGTCCTAGCCACATACACGCCAGCACCATGACCCAAAGCAAGAGGAGCAGCAATTGGAGCAGCGATGGCAGCGCCTACAGGTCCCTGGCTGAGTGAGATGCCGGGGATGCCAGCATGCAAACCGTGTCCAAGGCCACCCAAACCGGTGATGGCAGCTGAACCGCCCCAAGCGGTTGGGCCACCCCAAGCACCCTGTGCTAGCAAGTGACCACCGCCCAATGAAGAGGTCACATACGACACAGCTGGAGCAATTTGAGCGGTCAGCGGCAGCAGGGAAGAGTTAACACCGACGGCGAGAGCCAACATGACTACGGCAACAACGAACTGGAAAAGAGTGGTGGAAGAGGTAGGAATTTTTTTTTTTATAAATTTTACTTAGTTATTTATTTTTATTTTTATTTTTTTTTTGTTTTGTTTTTTGAAAAATAATCTTCATAATTCTATGAAAAAACTTTAAGTTCTTTACATAAATTTTTTTAAATTATTTTTGAATTTGACTGCTTAAGTCAGCACATTAATGTTTTGTAATTTTTCCGCTATATTTTTCAAATTATTTTCACAATTTTCAACTACAGCGTTGATCTTCGTCAATCCTGTAGCACCATTTAACTATTTATTACCTTCATGTTTGGTGATTAAAGCGGAGAAGGATTTGAGAAGTAAAAGAAATGGATTTGCTGTATCGCTACTAGACACACTCAAGAAGTGTTGACTTGATTCTGATTTCGAATACGAAATTATACCAACTTTTATACTAAAAATTCGTTGAACTTCATATGCAGCGACGCTATAAAATAATTGAACAGCAGCAACAATAACAAGAAGCAACAAAAAATAACTGTAACATTAACAGTTAGCATTTAGCTGCTAAAGAGCGGCCGGAGCACAAACGCCGGGCGGCGGCTAAACTTCAAATTGCAACGAAACTTGTCTTGTTGCATACTCAAAAAGCACAACAACAACAATTCTTAATAGCAACTGTATGCGCGACCGCATAAATACATTGGAAGTAGAGTAATATTTGGTGTTGGTGTTTTTGCACGCCCCTCGGCCGGCAGCCTGTCCAAGCCGCCTCGTGTCTATACAAAACCCAAAATAACCTTTCACTGCCGGTTGCTGCTGCAGCCGCCACCAATACGAAATTCCGATCTCA